CCCTGGGCTGCCTCAGAGGGTGGAAGGATGGGAGCAGGGGAGGTATTTAGCAAACTGTCAGCTCTCCTGAAGAGTCAGAGAGACAGGCACTCTGCTCAAGGTAACCACACGTTATCACATATTCCCTGTAAGGATGACCAATTTTTAACAAATGCGAGTATAACAAAAAATTAAGCAGTACACTGAACCCAATTTTAAAGACACGTCTGTCAAACTGCTGTATAATGGGTAAGATTTGCCACACACGGTTCTGGACACTTGCAAGTACTAATTTAATCTCCACAACTCCCCTAGGAGTTAGGTGTCCTTACTGGACCCCTCCCACAGAGGGGTAAACAAAGGCCAGAGACGTCAACAACTTATCCAGTCACGTAGCTAATAAGCCGCAGAGCCGAAACCGGTTTGGCTCAGTGGTAGAGCGTCGGACTGCGGACTGAAAGGTCCTGGGTTCGATTCCAGTCAAGGGCATGTAAATTGATTGCGGGCACATCCCCGGTAGGGGGTGTGCAGGAGGCAGCTGGTCGATGTTTCTCTCTCATCGATGTTTCTAGCTCTCTATCTCTCTCCCTTCCTCCTCTCTGTAAAATATCAATAAAATATATTTTTAAAAAAATAATAAGCCGCAGAAACAGGCTTTGGACCAGGCAGCCTGATGACGCCCTTCTCCGTGATGCTTGGCTGCCTCTCTAAAGTGGAAAAGGTCCCAAGGAGACTGAGGCTCAGAGAGAAGCCATTTCCACCAGCTCATCCCTGCTTCTCTCTAAAAATCCAGCTCTCGCCGTACCTTAGACTAGCAACGCGGCTACGAACATTGAGGACTGTGGCACCGTTCATCCCCTTCCTTTCAACAGATTCTTGCTAAGCACCTGTTATGTGCCAGGTGCTGTTCTAAGGTCTGTTTTTTTAGCCAAAGAAACTGTAGGAGACTGAACACATTTGGATCAATTCTTTGTTACCTCCCAAAAGTTATTTTAAAAAGTCAAATTTTATCACCTCTCTGTGTCTCAGCTACATCTCAGGAAGATGGGAAAACAAGAAAGCAACTCTGATCACTTGAGTGTTCTTTCTCCCCGGGTTCTAGAGAAGTGAGTGTTCTGTGCTCTTGGAGGCAACTTTCCGAAGCATCCAGGATCGATCAATCGGAAAGCAGAGGACAGCGCAAAGATGAAAATAGGTGAGTGCAACTCAGCCCAGCACTCGAGTTTCATTGAGATTCCACCTGCCACTCTCCCCTGCATTTCTTTGTCTCTGGCCACGACGAAGTTCATGGGTCTGCCGCCCCCGGTAATCCCCGTAATGGGCCGCAATCCTGGGGGAGCTGTTTCTGTTTACTAACGGCCAACCTCTGAGTCACACGGAGTAAAGCCAGTTGTGGCTTCTTGCCCCGGGAGCGGACGGGCCACTTTTCTGTTTTTAAAAAATAGGGAACTTCCGGGAGAGAGAACACGGATAGCAGGCAAGGGCCGTGGGAGAGCGGGACACAGAGAGGTGATGGCTGGCAGTGCGGGCCCCTTCCAGGTCGCGGGTTCTTTCAGAGTAGAATTCCCCGGTGCCCTCTCCTTGCGATGGCAACTAGTTTGTAGGGCTTCAGTGGAGTTCCAGGGTGGTGCCAGTTATAGCTGCCCATGATGCCACCCCAGTGGACAGGTGGGAGAAGGGATGAGGAGACCAAAAGGTGGTGAATAAACAGGACAAGCCAAATAGCAGAGTGGGCTTCCCCGCATGGGGGTCAGGAATTCTCGGAGCTTCAGACCCCAGCTAAGGTGACGGGACCAGCTGTGCCCAGAGCAGTTCCCTCAAGCCAACTGCCCACAGCCCAGGTCTGCTTCTTAGAGTTGGGACAGCATTGCAGCAGCTGCTTATTTAGAGACCGTGTCCCCTGGCTCTTCCATCTGCCCTCTGGTTAGAGCTGTGTGAAGCGGAAGACAATTTGGGGCTGATTAGTGTCCCAGGGAGACGTGTAACTTTGTGCTGCTGGGACCCAAACGACAAGAGTCTTAGCGGCAAACTCCAGCCGAGAAAAGACTGAGGGATTGTCTCACCTAATTACAGGGAAGGGCCCTCTTTGTGTTTGTGATTCGGTACGGTTGTCCGATCGCTTTTCTCCCTGTGCTGGCCCGGGCCACGCTGGAATTGTGCTAATTAGAGGAGAAATGGACAGAGTGATCCTGTCAGCCCTGGTTACTGGTGGGGACAAAGCAGAAATTATTCGGAGGCAGTGTGTTGTGAGCGCCCCTCTCCCCGCTCTCATTAGGAGGAAGGGGCCTGCGGGAGGGGAAGGTTCCGAATGCCTGGCCGGGCTGATGGAGCATGGGGGTGCTCTGTGCTAATTAACAGGCTCAGCCGGCACTTGCCAACCAGGAGCCTCAGGGTGGCCCCAGGTGCCACCTGAAGCCCCACCATCCCTGCTCATGAAGAAAACACGTTGGGCAAAGGGTGGGAAGGCCAGTGGCCTCTTTATTTTTATTTTATTAGTTTTGTTAATCCTCATCCAAGGATATTTTTTCCATTGATTTTTAGAAAGAGAGAGGGAGGGTGGGGTAGAGACAGAGAGAAACATTGATGTGAGAGATACATCGATTGGTTGCAGCTTGCACATGCCTCGACCAGGGCAGAGGATTGAGCCTGAAACTGGGGTATGTGCTTGACTGGAATCGAACCCAAGACACTTCAGTCAATGGGCTGTCATTCTACCACTGAGCCAAATTGGCTAGGGTCCGTGGCCTCTTTAGGCATAGTCAGGGATATATCCTATGCCCCAACATCACTAGACAGCCCAGTCAGAACTTAAACTTGGAAAGACCACTGTTTGCCGACTCTGAAGGTGGGGGCTCCTCGGGTGAAATGGAGCCCATGCGGGCTCAGGGAGTCCTGCAGCTCTCGGAGGATGAAGAAAACAGAACAGGAGAATGTAACCAAGGCTTGGAGATGGAGTCTGTGCAGAAGTTGAGAGCTGGTAGGAAACCATATTATCTGACCCCTGGGACCATCCGCCTTGGCCCAGCTGCCAATTTCCCAACTTCCTGCGCTGCCAGTTGACCTTCCTCTCATGCTTTGATCCTGGAGGAAACAAAAGGGACCACAGCACTCCATCGGGAATGGTCCTGTCTTTATTACAAAGTTCCTTCAGAAGTCCAAACACCCTCTGGAGGCCAAGGGGCAGTGGAGAAGGCACTGGAGCTGGAAGCCAGCTCTTAGAAGACACAGGAGCCACAATAAGCTGCAGCCAGAGCACCCAAACCGAGGAGCAGTTAGCAAGTATCCACTTTAAAAATATGGTAAAGTGGGTAACAAAAGGCAAAGAAAAATTAATGGTGGCATTGTGATATCAATACAACTGATATCCTGTGAGCTTTCAGTGCTAAACAGTGGAAGAAAAGCCAAGCATATCAGCAGAGGCCTCCAATCAAGAGACTGAGGTGAGCAAGAAGCAATGAGACTGCTGGGGAGAAAAGATTAAAGAATTTAAAAATGTGCCTCGCCCTAGCTGGTTTGGCTCAGTGGATAGAGCATCGGCCTGCAGACTGAAGGGTCTTGGGTTCAATTCCAGTCAAGGGCACATGTCCAGGTTGCAGGCTCGATCCTCAGTAGGGAGTGGGCATGTAGGAAGCAATTGGTCTCTCATCATTGATGTTTCTCTCTCCCTTCCTCTCTGAAATCAATAAAAATGTGCCTCACGCACCAACCTATGTGCTGCAAGTATGGTATTTGGAATGGCAAAGGGAAAGGGAAAACACGCTTGTGGGTAAATAATAGTTATGGAAAAATAACCTCTAAAGATTTAGACCAGAACATTCACATGCTGCCCCTCTTTAGTCAGTCAGCCAGCCAGCCATGCCTTCCTGAATCCCAGAAACCTATGGTCCATCCAGATGTTTTTTTGAAAATCAGGGATGAGCCGATGATGCTTAGCAATTAGCTTTTCTTAAATGGAATGTTTTCTCTAAGAGCACTGATCGTGTTATTAATGGGTGACAGTAGTAGTACTGATTACTTCCTCTTCTTTAGTTCTTGAACAGAGTTGAAAAGGAACTCCTACGAAGGATTTTAGGAGGTGACTCCTAAATATTTGTTCTCAATCCAACATATTTAACAGGAAGTCTGCAAATAGATACATTTTTAATCCCCAGTTCAAAAAGACAGTGAAGAAGAACTAGATGTGCTAGTTCACAGGACACAGCTGAAACCTGGAGGAGCAGGGCAGTGAGGTACGGGCTCAGAGTACTTCGGTGTGGGCAGTGTGGTAAGTCACAAGCTGGCCTACATAAAGGGTGTAGGAATGCAGGGGGCAGGGTTATTTCCAGCGGGAGCATCAGGGGTTTATAAGAAGGATAGGGCTTGATCTGTGCGAAAAGGATGAGAGACTTTCTAGGAACTCAATGGCATGGGCAAAGCACTCAAGTGAGCAACTGGGGAGTGCTCCGATTCATTGGAACAGAGACTTCATATGCTGGAGAGGAAAGAAGCCAACAGGAAGGGTAATTAGGGTTACATGCAGAGAGTTTAGGGTCCCAGGATGAGAGATCCAGAGTTTATTGGTAGACCTGGGGAGGTACTAAAGGTTTTTAAGTCTACTCCAGGGAGTTGAGTGGTAATGAACTAGATGGCAGGTAGGATAGACTGGAAGCTAGCAGACGATGCAGTAGATGACTATAAAGCCCCATGCCACCCACTGTTGTGTGAGGGGAAGACAGCAGATTATTTGTCATTATAGCTGTTTTTTTTTAAAAAATATATATTTTATTGATTTTTTTACAGAGAGAAGAGAGAAGGATAGAGAGCTAGAAACATTGATCAGCTACCTCCTGCACACCCCATACTGGGGTTGTGCCCGAAACCAAGGTACATGCCCGTGACCGGATCGAACCTGGGACCTTTCAGTCCGCAGGCTAACGCTCTATCCACTGAGCCAAACCGGTTTCGGCTATAGCTGCTCTTTCTGATGAGGTCTATGCTTTAAGTATGCAATTTGGCCCTTTAAGGAAAAACTCACTCTCCAGTAAAAGGAACATATTTATTATGATGACACAGAAGACATTATATACAAAGTACAACCTTCCAACATCCTGAAATACATACATGCACACATAGTTCATAAATTTACATTATCAATATAAAAACACAACATTAACATTTCTGAGGACGACAAATATAAAACCAATAAATATCACAATTCTAAAATATCTACTTACAGTAAGTGCTGGTGACTACTATGACAGTAAAAGAGACCCAAACCCAATTACATAGGTTCAGGTTACCAACAAGTTGGTTTGGGGGAGGTATCCCAATATTCTCCATATATTTCTTAATTTCTCCTTTTGACATCATCAGCTCTCAAAAGAAAGAGTTTGCTATTATACCACTATTTTTTTTTTGTGCATATGCAAACTCTTCAACCACATTTAAAATAAAGGAATGTCAATAATAAGCTTAACTTAAAATCAAAGCCTCTGCCCAGGCAGAGTGCTTTCCGTCCCATACTCATCCCTTTTATCTTGTGTTCAATGTCTTCCTTCTTGTCAGTAAGGAAAATTGCATGGATGGTCAAATAGCACAAATGAGAGAAAAATCCAACATTAACGCTAGCTGGGAAACAAGGCACACGTATGGCTAACGGACCAGCCATTAAAGTGAATAGTGCCGCACAGATACTCAGGGCCAAAAATTTGACTACGATTTTCCTTGTATCCAAACACTATCAGACTACTGTCACATGGATGTTCTTTTCATAAAGTTCAGGAAACTCCATGGATTCTTCAAAACATTAGAGGCTTGTAAGACAAAATACGGAGAACATGTGTAATCACTATTACCCATAAGCTAGATTTTCAGATTTTAACAGAGACACATAATTGGCAAACATTCCATACGAGTTATATTTAAGTCAGGAGATTCTCTTTTCCTTTCATGTGTGTTCCTGTCCTGTGGGTGAAATATCTGATAAGTGCTGTGAGAGGGGCTAAAGGGGGAACACTGCCATCACTACATAGCACACACATTCCCGTAAGGTCAATCAGAGTGTCTAGTTGTTAATCAAATCCAACTCCTACAGTCAACCCCCTTTTCCTATCTTCAGGCCATACTAACTATCTCGCTTGAATCTGTAACAGCTTAATTAGAACTCCAGAGTCCTTTCTGTCACCTTGGAATTGGTCTTGAGGTCTAATGCAACTGTGCATGGGCCTTTCATGACACAAACTAATCCCAGGAGGGACTTGATATGCAAGGATCCCCTTCTCCGGAGTCAGAACGGATGGTGGGAGCTAGGAGGCGGGGAATGGGAGGCTTAGGATATGGGACTACCATGAGAGGTGTAGAATTTTAAAAGCAGGCATCATTTCTAGAAGATTCTGGTTTCTCCAGCTGGGGATTCTTAGAACCTAGTATACCCTGGAGAGCTCACAGGTCAACCTGCATGATCTGGTCCAGAATCTAATTGGTCTCTGGGCTCCTTGCATCATAAATACTTCCTACGAGATCAAGTACAACTCATGCAACCGCTGTCACAACGGACTTTGCCATCACTGAGTCAAATCAACTGTTGAGATCCTGGGGCTCCTGAGTCACTTCCAGAAATGAGAAAGCAGGACTTTGACCTTTAAGAATGCTATGCCCTCTGGTGTTACCAACATCTGACATGGGGATGGTCAGAGTCTGGAAGCTGACTGGATAACGGCATTGATCCTTGGTAGAACAGATGCTTCTCTTGCTGCCGAATGTCCTCAGAGGCGCAGAGCCCAGGAGCAGGGGAGAGGTCAGCCCTGGAGGTGCACCCTCCAGCCTCTCGCCAGGAAGCAGTGAGGTGGGCATCATCAGAGCTGCACTGGGAGCGGAGCGTGGTTCCAGCCCCCGGGACATCCTGTCCACGAACTGCTGCTACTTCTTGGGTTTCTCTAGAATGTTGAGGAACTTCCCCCGTGTCATTTCTCTGGCTGAAATTAAAAAGCAAATGAAAGATCAATGAAGACCTACAGTCTGAAAACAACAACAACAACAACAACAACAACAAAAAACACACATAAAAAAAACAGGATCATAGGAAGATTTAATTTAAAAACACAGACTGATTAAATTGTATACAGGTGATCACAACAGAGTCAATCACCACAAACCTCCAAAAAGAGGGGGAACAAACCACTACTGGCAACTAAAACCGTGCAGTTGTTCTGAAGTTGGAAACTGCTCTAGGGCACAGGCCAACTGGGGAAAACATCCTCCATCAACCCTTACAAAAATCATCATGAATCCCCCTAACCTCTCTCTCTCTAAAGAATATAACCTAATAGTCACATTCACTAGCACAGGGGTTTGCTCTTGGAGGCTAAAATCCAACTAAGGTTACAGTCTATGGGCTGCTGGTTTCTGGACATTTAAAATCTCAAATCAGAATTAGAGACCATTTACCCCGCCCCTCAGTGGCAGTCCCTGGACACTGTAATATAACGGTTTATAGCCCCTCAGTGCAGTTCATCTGGGGAGGGAGTAATAAAGTAGGGTTTATAGAACTTCGGTCTTCTCTCTCTTGGCATTGTCAGTCCTTAGATATTTAATATAGTCAGGCAAGGTTTATGTGTCTTTCTCTGACTTTCAGTGCCATCAATCTTTGAATGCTGTAGTTACACGAGGGTTTATATAGCTACTTTCCTACATATGAGGCTCTGAAATGAAAGTAAAACATTTCTCAATTACAAGGGTCACTGCAGAAGCCCACGTTTTAGCTGTCAAGCAAATCCTCAAAAATCGTATGAAGCCTAAAACCCCCTTCATCCTCATCCCCACAAGATCATCTTTTCAGATCCCTTAAATGGATTGAGCAGTGCTAAAAGTTTCCGATGGTTTGCCCCGGAGGCTGGAAGTCCTCTGGAATCAAGCAGAGGGCACACAGCAGGCTGTGCCCCGTGGCCTCCCGAGAACATGTCTCCATCTTGGCCAAAAAGTGAGGTGGCCAGGGAGGCTCCTGCAGAATAGAAGGACTTTACTCTGACCTCCTCCTGCCCTTCTCAAGTCCAAAGCAAACGGTGCCGGGAGAATGGGCTCCCGCTCTCCCCACCCCACCTACATCTAAGCTCCTGGTGGACCTGCACAAGGAGGAAGTAAAACAACACGAACTCTGTAACCGCAGGAAGGCTTTTGGTAACTGCAGTCTGTATATATTCCCCACCTTTCATAAGTTCCTGAGCTCCAACAAAGAGAAAGAAAATCCCATTAATCAGGAATGGAAGTATCAGAGCTGGGTCTGCTCTCATGTGCCCACAACCCCTCCCCGTCTCAAAGCAAATGGACCTCTCCTTCCTTGGTGGATTTATACCAACCCTCTGCATACAAAGTTCCTATCAGATCTGCAATTATCTGTTTATATACTTGTGTTCCTCTGTTGAAATATGAAAATAGAGGGCAGAGACTGTTTTATTATTCTTTATTCACTAGCACCTAGCACAGTGCTAGACCTGGCATCTGCTGAAAAACGTGCGCTGGGTGAATGAAGATACACCGAAGAACTAGAACCAAGTAGGATAACAACCAAGTTAGTTTCTTCCCTTCCACAGACAATAAGACTTGTTAGTGGCCCTGGTGCTCCATTCTCTATATCGTGGGGGTTCTTTTTAAATTTACCTTGCTTGTTTAGCGAGAAAGACAATTTCCTTGATGGGAATAATGCAGAATAATGGAGAGATGGAGGTGGGGTGGGGCAAGGACAGACAAGAACAACTTCCTAGAGGAAATGAGGCCAGGTGAGTACCTGAAGCAACAGGAGTGGGTGGGGGTGGGGACAGTGCATGAGTCCACTCTGTAAGTACATAATTTTCTAACCACTTTGCTGTACATCTGAAACTAATACAGAATAATATTTCATGTAAACTGTAATTGAAAGACAAATTAAAAATAATTTCTTGCCCATGGAAGGTAGCATGACTTCTTTCAGAGAACACAGGATTAGTTTAAGTTCCAGCTCTAGCACTTAGCAGCTGGGTGACACCAGGAGCTGGGTATGAGCCTCAGTTTCTTCATCTGTAAAATGAGTCCATATTAATGTCACCTGCCCTGTCCTCTTGGCTATTCAGCAGTGAACATGTTTGGTATAGTGGTATCACTAATATAACACCTTTCAGAGGAGGGTCATCCTGCTGCTTCTCTTGTATAATACTAAAGTATTTCCTGAGTGAATAAATGAATTAACTGTGATAAGGGATAGTAGTAATCTCAAAAATTCCACTCCTTGGGATCTTTCCCTCAGCCAGATCCTATAGATATTGACTTATACTTTTGGCCTGAGTGGGTCTCATCACTTTTTTTCTGCCTATTCTCAGGTGCTTATTAAAGACCTGAAGCACAGCATCAAGCGGTCCTGCAGCCTGGCTAGAAGCAGGTGCTCTGGAAACCAGACATGGGTAACACAAAATTCTTTGGGTAAACAGAACCTTGTTCCTAAAATTCGGGGCCAGGAGCACTCTATTGACATCACTAATGACTTCTGCCTGCTGCCCTTCAGATCTCCAATTCTTTGTTATTTTTTCTCCAAATGGAAAAATGACCAAGATTTGAAGACCTAAAATTTAAAAAGATCCAATCTAGTCAAGGGATCAAAAGGGCTTCACAGAAAAATACATGGATATTCCAAAGTCTCTCAGTGGCGAGCTCTCCTTGAATGTAACCAATCCCTTTTAACAACCCCTTTCCCACTCAATCATTCCTCCCCCTTCAACCTAATCTGAGTACACAGAGCTGCAGGAAACCACAGTAAAAGTAGAAGTAATTCAAAAGACATCATCTTCTACATGGGAGGGGAGAAAGTTTTCCTGCTCGCCATTCCTATATAGGAGATATACGAATTTCTGACATAGCTGCTCCCTAAAAGAGGACTGTGCCCTATAAATCACACCCTAAGCACCAGCCCCTTTTTGTGCACAGAGAAATTGCTGTGGGTCAGGGGCTGCTCCAGAGCACGTGCCCTCCTGTTCACTTGTCATCAGAGATGTTAGCATCTCTGATTAATTCACATAGCCCTTATTTGAGTCCTCATCTCTTTATCCTTGCTCTCCTGCTCTGCTGCGGTGTGAAGATTCTTACCAACCTGATACAGTATCACTGCCTGCTAACGGCACCCCCCGAAACCTAGCGAAATTGTTTAGTGATGCCAACCGCGCTTTTAATTTGCAAGACATCAGACACTGAGGTAATTTATACCAACATCTGTTCATTTTAGACTTCTGAAACAAACTTGCACATGCTGCTATAAAATCCCATTAGGAGTAGAGAGACAGCCTTCTGCTACTATTCCGTATTCTTCTACACACACACACACACACACACACACACACACACACACACACACCCCTCCCTTCCAGTAGGGTTTAATATGTAAATGCAGTTTACTAAAAAATTTCCACCAAAGATTTCACATCTCTTTGGGAGAAAACCTTTAGAGGTATCCATGGTTTGCTTACAGAGGAGAGGAAGATATTTCTATTTCCCTCTGACTAGTGAGTGCCATCCCTCCTTCTTCTCAATAGTTACAGCTTGGCGTAATTCTCTAATTAATGGCCAGGGTAAGAGTACATGCTTCTTAGCTTGGCACTTTCAATGCTTCCCTTCTCTCTTGGTCCTTTTTTTCTACAATGTGCTAGAAGACAACCCAAGAGACAAGAAAATTGCTAGAGTTTTATCTAGACTCAATAAAATTTCTTAACGATTTTCTAATTCTGGATTACTTCTCTAGGATTACAAGTTTAGCAGGAAGTGAACATGCTACCACCTTCTAATAACTATGCCAAGAGGGATCCACTGGTCACCAGCCACAGTGTGTGCTGTGAGAAGAGAGGCATGACCTTTGTGTGGCCCTGATTTACTATGGCTCTCCTATGCAGTACAAGACCATAAACTGAGAAAGCCACAATAGAGACTGTCACCATAGGGGGGCATGTGATTGCTGCAGAGTGTGGGAGAGGGGACCACTTGTACACATTTACAGGCGGCAAATGGATACACCACAATCAGCTTCCAGGTTTATGCTGTTTCCATTACCCCCTTCTCGTTTTCCTAGGACTGTCAGGTTCATGGCAGCTGTAAATAGCTGGGCATGCTCTGAGAGGTCAGGGCTGAGGGAGGACTGCATCCTCCTTGCTGGGAAGTGTGTGTGGTTTAATATAATGTCTTCTTTAGACTCTCCAATCCTCCATCCTACACTTAGCCTTGCATCTGGCTCCCTTGCCACGATGACTATCCCCAACCTGCCTTCTCCGCAGTAAATTTTCTGGTGGCTGGTTGAAAGAGAGTCAGTGGCACAGATTGATTTCTCACCGGTGAGGGGATGAGGGATTACCAGAGGCACCCTGGTTAACAAGATTGGGTGCGAATCTCTCATGAGACCAGCCCTCTCTGCCAGGGCTTTGCACCTTTCACCCATGACATATGGGTTTCATTACGGAAAGATTTTCCAGATTATAACTTGGAAGCAATTGCCTGATAAAATTCTGCTTGGCTTTAATGTAGGGAACAATGTAAAGAATAAGCAACTTTTAATGAAATGCAAGAAACTCATAATGTTTGGTTTTCAATGCCAATGCAAACTACTTTAAATATTTCTGTGCCTCGATATAATTAAAAATATTAGTGAGGTGGAGAAGAGCTACATTTCACTAGTTTGCTCACATCCTGAAGAGCAACAACAGGCTGTCTTTAGGAAACTTTAGTACGAATGGCCAGGGAACAAAGGAGACACATAACTGAAAGGAGCAGGGCTTTCAGCATTAGACAGGCTTAGACTTGAACCCATGGACTCTGCTACTTACCAGCTCCTGTACTTAACAAGTCACCCAAGTCATCCTTTGTTCAAGGTGGGGTTAATACAAAGGTCACATAGGCATTCAGCAAATGCCAGCTATTGTATAATCATCTCTTTCATTTCAAACAAGTTTATTTAAGCCACAAGACA